CCCCCCCCCCCACGCCCATGCCCCCGCCTCGCCTCGCCTCTAACCACGCACTGTGCCTCATCCCAAGCAGTAACCGGGAGAAAGGAAAGAGAGCATGGTTCACACTTAGGCCGCATGTGTCCTACACAGACTCAACTCTCGCCTCAAACAGCAGACGAGTGGAGAGGTGCGGAAGACAAGCCGTATGGCTCCGGTCATGACTCCATGTCTCTCGCGTATACGGCTACCTGCATATGCCGCATGCACATAGCGGGTTGTGCAGCCAGTGTCTGTGAACTGCTGTGCTACTTGTTTTGCTCGATCGTCGCGCTGGTGACACCAACGGGCTGGACGTTGTGTGTGTGTGTGTGTGTCGGGGCGTTGTGTATGTTGTGTATATGTGTGTGGGCAGAGATTGGGTCCGGGCCTGGAGACCGTTTTTTTTTTGCAGACCCTTACTGTAGATGTAGTGCCGATTGTTGATCTGCCGAGTGCAACGCTGTTAGGGGGGGGTGAGTCCGTGTTTTGTGATTGGCTCGTGTGTGTGGAGTATGTATGGGGGGGGGGGAGCGCCTTGGAAACATCTGACAGCGTTGAGGCGGAGCGTTGGTGTAATGGGCAAAAGTCTTATCTGGGCTTGATATGCGTGATATGGTCAAGATGGCGGTTGCGGCGACAGACTACACGGCAGCGGCAGTAGTTGAAAACCCACAAGTGGCATGGTGCATACGGCTTGCTTGGCGTTCACTCTTTGTCAGACATTTCGGGCTTTTTTGGCATCTAGCTTACTCACTTGAGAGAAAATGGACATCGCTGTCGTTGTCGGGCAGCATCTGTGTGTGTGTGTGTGTGTGTGGAGGAAAGATGCAATGACAGCTTCTTATTAGTTTGCATTTGCACTGTTATCATACACGCCATGCAGACCATACCACCCCAAGTCTTGCACATCTAGCCCCAAGAATTGACCAGCCCAACTTAACCAGCCAGCTGCTCAGACCACGCACAAAGTTCTACTAGGAACCAATCATGACGTCCTTCTTTCTTTCTCCATGTTTGCTTTTTCGGCTTCTGCATCGGCAACGGAGTGCGGGGAGAATGGAAGTGGAAGTGGAAGTAGAAGCAGGCCAAAAAGCAAACAGAAGGAAAAACAAAACACATAGTAAGATGGCAGTTCCTGGTATGTGTGTGTGTGTGTATACATGGTAACGGCCGGACAAAAACAGAGTCTCTTAATGCAGGATTGTGCAGCACCACACACGCCCCTTTCCCCCCCCCACCAGTCTCATTTCATAAGGACAGGATTATGGACATGGGCGCATCTCAACCTCCAAGCACTTCTGCTACGCCACGCCACGCCACGCTGCACTCGGCCTAGACCAAAAGCCCAAACGACTTTGCTTTTTTGCAACCGTGTGTAGTACACGATCCAGCACTAACGGTTGGGGGACGCTAGCAGGACGCCACGATACAAGGCAGCAATATTTTTTGATTCTGGCGCGGTTTCCAGGAGAAAATATGCCAAGCGGGCAAGTGGGGAGCGCATCGACAGTGTTGGCCTTGCGGGACTTTGAGACATGGTTGCGGTGAGCCTTTTCCGGAATGCGACAAGGGACACGCATCGACAGCGCACGCACTCGTCAACACCCAAGACTTCTTGTCCTCCATCATGCTTACGCGGCAAAGGGACCGTAGTACGCAGCCTGTCAAGGGCGCGGTTGCCTGCAGCCTTGGGCACCTCCCCCCTATCAAACACCAACAGTGACGACACGGCAACAGGACGCTTGGAGGATAAGTCATGAGATTGAAACTAGAACAAAAAACAACCGAATACTAACAAAACTTGACATGGACAAAAACACAAAATGCGAGCAAGAACCAGGCAGCCTGTCGTGACGCACATCCTGCGCCAGACAAGCCCATCCCTCCTCGGTAACATCAGCGTTTGGCACCACAAACGCCATCAATCGAACGCGCCGATCCATGCTAATGATGTAACCTCCCTAACTAAACCATGTATTAAAAAAAACCAGAGTGGTGATATCAAACCGGCGTAGACAAACAAGCAGTACATGCCACCATAAGTGTATGAAAAGCATAACAAAACAACCAAGAGCGAAACATCAAAAAGAGAACAGACTGCACGTCTGCCAAAGGATGTAGCCACAACCTTGTGACAGACAAAGTAGCGCAATTGCGTCAGAGTAATGGGACTTGGAGCCCGGCGTTGGCGTCGTAAGGAAAGAATGACTCGAATACTGTCCATGCTCCGAAGCAAACTCCAAGGACGCCAGGGTGATGATGTGTGCCTCGACTGGATAGAGAGAGATATTACGCAACGAGATGGGAAGCGCTGTGATGCAAGCCAAAAGCTTCTTCCGTCCTTGGCCAGCAGAGACGGTACGTGTCGAGCCGCCAAATGGCAATCGTCTTCAGTCGGCCGTTAAACAGACGTAATGAAGTCATGTCGTGATGGTAGCCTGGATATGGTGGCTCTAGCGTATGCATGCAGCAGGATGCAGGAACGGATGCGGGGTATCGCGGGGTATCATAATGAAGGAATCGACAAGAAAGGAAAGCCAACACAAAGAAAAGACGACTACATGGCCTCAGCCCATGTCCATGCCGTACTCGTCTTCCTCCTTGAGACTAGTCCAGTACTGTGGTTGGTTCGAACCCGAACCGCTGCCAGTACTTTGCATGCCTGGACTAAGACTCTGTGGTGAGACTCCATTGAGGGGCTCGCCGGCCAGATTGGTGTGCTTGGGTACGCGCAGGCCTGAGCCCGGGCCGCGCGAGTACCTGAAAGTGCCGGTGCCGTTCTTGTCGATGGCATCAAGGATCTCCGTCTTCATCCGCTTCTCATCCTCTGACTGCTCAACCGGCCACTCTTCACCCGTGGCCTGCTGGAGACGCGCAGCCAGTTCGTCGCATTCCTGGATCTTCTTGGACAGCATCCACATGAGATCGCGTGTCCAGCTAACAGCGCCGTTGAGAATGTCTCCTTTGTTGGGACCCTTGTCCTTCTCTTCGATGGGAAGACCTTGGGTAATGTTACCAGCTGCTCGTCTTCCACTACCGCCAGCTAGAAGCGACGTGGCTTGTGGTGGTGACATACCGCTAGTGCCCATGGTCGGAGAGAGCGGGCCGTTGTTGTTGATGTGCTTGCGGATCTTCTCGTCCTCTAGGCGGTGCTGAGGCACCAGACGAGACAAGTCATGGATACGCTCATTGATGTTGTCCCTGCGTCGACGCTCCACCAGGTTGTGTGACTCACGGCGGCGGCGTTTCTTAGCATCGGCATTCTGACCAATGTCGACCTTGGCAGGAAGCGAGTTGTGTTTGCCCGAATGCAAAACATCGGTAATCTGCTGATGATGGAGCCCTCCAGCATGGGGCGACGCCGTAGGCGAGTCAATCCAGGAGTGGGCACTACCCGGGGTTCCCTCCCACTGGCCCGATATGCTCTTCTGGTGACGATGCATGTTGGTCATGATGGGCTGGGTTGTGAAGTTGCCCGAGTCAGGGGTGCCGAGATGGAGGCCAGCCATAGCAGGCGTCTTGGGTGACATGGGAGCGCGGTTGTTGTCGGAAGCAGTCCTGCTCATGGTGATGCGCTGACGCATCGAGCCAGTTGGCATGCTGCCGGGGAAACTCCGCATCTGCGATCCCGATTGGTACTGGTTGAAGTCAAAGTTTCCAGGATGGACAAAGGGACTGTGGATGGGCAGGTCGTCGGGGGTGTTGGAGTAGACCTGGTTCACGCTTGCATTGTTGGCGTGGCTGTGGTAGTAGTCTTGCTGCTGGCCCATTTGCTCCTGGGAGAAGTTGTTGAAGCCAGTTGGCTGTTCAAAGGTGCCAAGCGACTCGGCAAGTTCGTCGTCGGCAATGCCAGCGCCACCCTGCATGTAACTGTTAGTGCCAAAGTGGTTGCCCATCATGTTCCCACTCATGTTGAGCTCAGAGGGGTTGATGCCACCCGCGTTCTCGTGGCCAGAGAACTGGGCGTTGGCGTATTGCTGGTTCATGTCCAGGCCGTTGTGGGCCATGAATCGGTTGTTGAAAGACATTTCGTCGACTTCTTCTTTGATGAATGGTTGAGGTGATCCTGTACCAGTCATGTTGAAAATATCAGCATCTAGTACGTCGTCAGAGGGGGACTCGAAGCCAAGGTCCAGCCTCGCAATCGGCTTCTGAGGAGAGTAGGAAGAGGGAGGGGTGAAGAGAGCGTCCGCTTCAGGGACAGTTAGTATGTTTCCGTAGTACATGATTGCAATGACGGTGGAAATGACGGAAAGGAAGTGTGCAGAGCAAGCGATGGCGAGGGAGCAGAGGGGAGAGATATAGAGACGCCGAGGCAAGTCGAGTAGAAGAGTGTTCTCATGATGGGCCATGTTACAAGAGGCGTACTTACTAGGCTTTGGCATTACTGTGGGTTGCAGAATCCCAGGAGTGTGGATGTATGTGGACGAGGGCGTACGCTCGTGCCAAGACTTGAAATCTGAAACGATCTCTTGTCGGCCTGAGCCAGTGACCAAGGAACGCACTCGCAAGCCTGCAGAATGATTGCAGCACGAGGCGGCCTGTGTCCCTATAAGGCAGCTAGCAGACGCTTGCTATCTGGTGCGCACAACAATGGTGCGAGCAAGCTAAGAGGTGCCTGGAGGGACGGCTGATGGTCGCTAGCAAGCTGCTGACCTTGTTGGGAGAGAGACTAGTGTTTCTCTGTGGGAAGGACGTCAGTACCATGGCTGGTTATGCCCGGGGCATATTTTATATTCGTCGAGAGAGCACTCACCTGTCCGAGCAACGGATGCTGCGGGAATGGGCGGGTGTGTCGAGTGGATGTTCAGAGGGACTATGGTTGGCGGAAGCGGGGACAAGAAAGCGGCCTCTCTTCGGAGCCAGGTTGTGAGATGCGGTGGATTTTTGGTGGCGGTGGGCCCGGAAATGGTTGCTGGGAGAGATATGTCAGCGCACGGTCCATTGCATCAAGTGTTGGGTGGTTGAAGGGCTGGCTGCATGCGTGTGGCGCACAGATGGGTAACTCGCGAGGCGAGTAACGGGAGGGAGGGGGGACGGCAGCCGTGCTGCACGCCGGCGCTGTCGGGACCGTGGCACAGAGGACCAAAGCAGCGAAACCGTGTCACAATTCCGCCGTGATGTTTGGGGGGAAGGGGGGGGGTTGTTGTTTACCGCGCCAGGCTGAGGCGAGGCGCGGCAGTGGTGGAGGTGGAAGGGGAGGCGGAGGCGGAGGCGGAGAGGGAGATGGTGGAGGTGAAGGTGGTGGAAGCGAGTTGCAGGGAAGGAGCAATGGAGCAAGCGTTGACTCACCTGGGGAATCTCAAGCAAGGCTCAGTGGGAACGGGCGCCTGCAGCGGTCGGCCTCTTCTGTCTCGGAGAGGTGGAGCGGAAAGTGGGTTCGGCGTCGAGTGGATGCTGCGGCGTGGAAGACAGCAAACCTGGCGGCCGAGGGGTGAGGTCTCGGGCTGGGGGCTTGGGCGGCGGTGGTGGTGGTGATTGCCGGGGGCGTGGGGTGGGACAGGCTGTGTGTCTTTGTCGTCGACGCGGGCGCGGGCGCGGGCGGGGAGAGTGCGGAGGCGGCTTGGGCGGTGGTGTCGACAAGAGCAGGAGCAGGTTGGGAGCGTGGTGCAACGCAGAGGAGGAGGGGTGGGTAAAATAGGGCGAGTGGGATTATGGCGTAGGCAGAGAGGGCGGGGAGGGCTTAGGCGGGATATTCCCGGGTTGGGA